AAAAAAAAAAAAAAAAAATACAATGTTCTCTATGTTTCACACACATACTTGTTTATACACATAAACTACATTTATATTCCTTAAAGTCTCTTAAAGCCAAGGATTCTGGGATAAGAAATACTAAGAAGTCTCACTTGGTATCAACTTACCAACACAGTCACAGCACTCGTCCCAAAGGGCCCCAAGACACAGCATGCACTCCTTACAGCAGGAGCAATTGCCCTCACCTGGCCGGCACTGGCAGAGCTCCTAGAAATAAGACAGATGGTTAAACTTCAAATTCCAAATAACTATATATAAAACTGTTACTTTTTAAGCAAAAAACCCTGCCACATTTGCATTTACAGTAATGTATTCTTGACATAATTTTGTATTCAACATTATTTTATTCAACATTATTAACTATTCAACAGAACATAAATATATACAATGTCAGGTAGATTTTTTTTTGGACACATTCAGTGAACATATTTTGAATGCTTTTACCTTATTTTGAAAGAAGGAAAATATTTTATTTTATAATCCATAACTTAACTAACTCACACCACTTCAACAAATAATTCAGTACAAGAACAAAACCTGCTTTTCAGCTATTATATTTATTATCCAAATTTATCTATACAAATAGGGGTTTGTAGGGTTTCTCAATATGTAAAATGTGAATAAAAGAACCTTTTAAAATGCTATTTTTATTGTTCCATGATACAGAAAACAATATGGTTCATATGGTAGATTATTTGCAAAGAAGGTGAAAATTATTCCCCTCCCTAGGTCTCCCCTCTTTGCAATGTAGCTTTGCAGCTCCTCTGATCAAGGGACAAGGTCAATTTCTAGACCTCTTGAACTTAGGTGATCCTGAGACTCACTCTGATCAACAGAGTTCAGTGGACATGACATTAGGTCACTTCTGACTTAAGGCGGACAAATCAGTCCACCTGCTGCCATCCTAGATCAGCCAGCTTCCAACCAACCAGCAGCTGCCAAGAGACACAGGAATAAGGCCAGAAAACCACCCAGCTGATCCAGGCTCAAACTGCCAACCCACAGAAACAAGAGCTAAATAAATGATTGTTGTTTTAACCCACTCCACTAAACTTTAGGGTGGTTTGTCACTCCACAAGAGCTAAGATAGCTTACAATGATAGTACAAGAAGCTCCAAAGCAATTCCTTTAGCGCTTGCCCCTGCTCTCCCCTTGCCACCAGACTGCTACTCCTGAACAAACCCAACTGTTGGAAACAGATGCTCAGTGCCGCAAAGAAAAATCAGCAAGGAGACAAAGGATTTTTTAGCAATGCAAGTTTTACTTCCTGGACTGCAGGAAGGATACTCTCACTAGCCATCTTGCCATCAGACTACAATGAACAAAAGAAAACAGACAAATTTATCCCTTATGCATTCAGGGTCAACCTTACTGCTGTGTCTAATCTCTGTTGGCAGGAGCCAGACCTCACAATCTAAACTAAAACTCAATTGGCTAACAATTTAAAACTTTTCTAAACAGGTAAAAGCAATGGAGAGCTGGGACATGCCTGTGAGCACGTCCAGCACCGGTATCTTGGTTAAAGTACAAGGACATAGAATATATTATGTGCCTGTAAGCATGGCATGTTTAACAGCTATATAGAATTGGGCTTAACAAAGAATTATTAGCACACTTATGATTTATTCTTTAACAAGAAAGGAAACTTTAAAAAGGAACTTTTCTACTTCCCACACCAACTGAAATGGAAATTCTATAGCCATCACTTATTACTTTCCTTGGTTTAAGATACCATATATATTTATAAGAAAAATATATTTTATTACTTTGGTAGAAATAACTTATGATAAAACTGATTTTACTCTCAGGCTTAGAAGGAACTTCACAGGTCAACAAAACTATCCTGCCATCTAACACTTGAATCTCTTCTATAATATTAGTTCCATCAACAAATGGCCATTGCAGCCCACAGTTGATAAGGAACTTATAATCCAAAATAGCCTGTCCCAGTCTTATGAAGTTTTAAGTGTTTTCTTTCGTTGAACTGAAGCCTGATTCCCAGAAGCCTGCTCCTTAAGACCCACCTCCTCCAAATATAATTTCTCTTCAACAAAGCCATTCTAATTTTTCATGGCACCTGCACCAAACAGTTTGGAACGCCTGCCCTTGATTCCCACCCTCCTGTCTGTCTCCAGCTCTGTTTTGAACTATATCACCTTTCTTTTTCCTGGCTACAAATAATCGGAACAGAGGTAGAAAACAGACTGTAGCTGGTCAATGAGATTGTCTTCCAAGATTTTGGAAATACAACAGATATTTTTCAATCTCTGTTAGGAACATGAACATGTCAATCTCTGTTAGGGGATGATACAAAGCTGGGGCTGAGAAGGCCATTTCAAAATAAGAGGTAAAAAATTACCCTATGGCTCCCCCATTCCTGCTTTCCAAAGATAAAGCACCATGACATTCATGGTCACAAGAAGAGAAGGGAGGGAAGAGGCCATTCTGATTTCTAATAATGCTCTAGTCCTAATGATGCACTTCCTGTTCTTAGAGATACTGTTATCAGTTGGAGATATTCTTCATTGAGATATTTGTATCAATTGGAGTAGGCTTTAGTTACTCCCAACCAAAAAAGCCCTGTTTAAAACAAAATGATGTCTATTTTTATTCCCTCATCTCCTCATTTTAGATCATTTTACTCCCATGGTTTCATCACTTGCTCCCCATGACATGATGTTACATTGTATCGCTCTGCTGTTAGCTTTGTCATTAGGTGAAAGTTTGTTAATTCTAAATTATCATCATCCCCCTCCCACTCCCCCTCCCTCTCCCTCCTCCTCTTTCTCCTCCTCCTTAGGGCATAATGTCTAGGGAAGAAGCAGAGAATCCCTCTTACCTTCTTGATTGTGAACACTAGTTTTTAAAATTAAAGAAGCCTAAAATTTGTTTGTTTGGGGTAGCAATATGCTGTCAGCAACTGTGTTACTTTCAAATCATTCCAACAAATCATTTCAATAAGATTTAAAAAATCTGAGACCTGCTGGGTGCAGTGGCTCACGCCTGTAATACCAGCACTTTGGGAGGCTGAGGTGAGCAGATCACAAGGTTAAGAGACCAAGACCATCCTGGCCAACATGGTGAAACTCTATCTCTACTAAAAATACAAAAATTAGCTGGGTGTGGTGGTGCGCACCTGTAGTCCTAGCTACTTGGGAAGCTGAGGCAGAAGAATCACTTGAACCCAGGAGATGGAGGTTGCAGTGAGCAGAGATCAATCCAATGCACTCTAGCCTGGCAACAGAACAAGACTCCATCTCAAAAAAAAAAAAAAAAAAAAAAAATCTGAGACCTAATGGAATGCTATTGATATATATGTTTTAAAAAATTAACTAGTGCAATGTAACCATTATTTCTCATTTCCGTACCTCAATACAGTGCTTTTAAAATGTAAACATAGGTCATAATATTTAACCCTATTAAATTCATCTTATATTTCTGGACTATTGGAGTCAGCCCATCATTCTAACATGGCATTTTTTGCAGCGCTGATTTTAATTCCTTGGGTTTTGTTGTTGTTTTTTGTCTCCAAAAGTTACAGCACATTTTTCTTTTTCTTTTTTTT